GAGGGGGACCAGACAGGTTTCCTTCTTCAGGTGGGGAATTGGGCTTGTAAATTAATCATGCCGGAGGGAGCGGGGCTCAACAGGGAGAGTTCTGGGACCATCGGGGGGGGGTCGGGGGATAGGAACGGGGGTTAGGGTAGGTGCTGGGTCTGGTCTGATATGACAGCCTCGGGGGCCCAAGGGGTAGTGGGTAGGGCTGGGAGTCTAACCTGGTGAGTGTAGCTCAGCGGGGTGGCTGAAGTGCCTAAGTTCAATGTAGAAGTCCTCGGGCGGGTACCTGGCTTCCAGGGCACTGATCTGGAAATGGGAGTCTAGTGAGAGGAATGACAGGGAGGAGCCATTATTCCCAGGGCCCTGGTATGGCGGGGGCAGCAAGGTGCAGAGTACAAGGGGCCGCGGGCAGGAAGGTCAGGGTGGGGCAGGCTGGAAGGAATTAGGGCTTCTATATGTAGCATCCAAAGGAGCTAGGGCCAGAAGGGCTAGGGGGATTTGCTAGAGCTGAGGCCACTGGCCTTGCTACCTCTCATCCCCACCCCTCACCCCCATCCCCACCCCCATCCCCCACAGGAATTGGTGTCCGTGAGGGCAGTGGGGCAGAAGGAAGAAACCCTTGAAAGGGGCACCTTGGTAGGGCCTGGCTCAGGCAGGGGTCCGTTTCCCAGGTGGTGAGTGCATCTTTTGCCTCCATCTGGAATCCCCACATCTGGGCCCTAGCTCTCTCCCTGGTAGTCCCTGGGTCATAGCCACCTTCTCCCTATCCCCTAATACAGGGATGAAAGGTGTGCTGGGCTTCATTTGCTTGTGAGAACTGAAATAGGGGCTTGGGTTTCCTCCCCACACCCCTTCTCCCTGGGGGGAACCATGCTCAAGATTCCTCTACTCACTGTCTCCCTTGCAGCTGGGACAGGGCCCCCGTCAATATGGGAGAAGGAGAAGAGGGTGGGACACGATGGCGGAGGACCAGACTCAAACCACTACTGACCTAACACGTTCACATAGCTGTAGGGGGTCCAGCCTGCCATGTCTCTGTCAAGGGACTTGTTACTGAGCTGTTTGGAGAGTAGGAGAGCGAGTTAATACCTAGTGCCCTTGTGATGCCCCTGCCCCACTTTGCTTTGCCCAGCCTCAAGCACCCACCCCTGTGGGAGGCGGCGGGGAGGAGGCGGCAGCGGCTTACTTATACCCAGGACAGAGATCTTCCACAGGCTTTGGGACTGATTGATTCATTTCTGGTGTCTGCCAGAACTAGCTTGAGGCAAGCTGGGGGAAGCAGGTCAGCTGGGTGGGGGCAGGAGACAGGGCGCTGGGAGCACCTAGCAGCAACATGCGGTCATCTCCAGCACAGAGGGAGGTGCTGAGGCTGCCTGTCACACTGTCACATCCCTGTCATCTCTGCCACCTGAGCTGAGTATGAGTGTCTCCCTTTCGTGTGACCAAGGGAAAGCTTCAGGGTAGGGTGTGCTTATGGTGTAACCCTTCCTCTTGCTGCATTCCCACAGCCACCTTCATGAGGCAAGGATGGTTGTCGTCATTTCAGAGTTGGGACCTGAGTCCTGCTTGTGAGCCCTGCACATGGGCACACATGGAGTTGATGGCAGAGCTGGGTCTGCAGCTCAGGTCTTAGCTCCTAGACCCATGTCTTTTCCATGTTGTCACAGCTGCCTGCCTCTGCTGTAAATGCCCCATCTGCTGGGCGGAGGGGTACTTGACCACACAGGGCCACTATGGGCCCTGGGGTGAGGTGAGCCAGAGGGTCACCAGTGGGCTACTCTGGAGTAAGTCCAGCCCCTTACTGAGTGAAAGAGGGTGGCTGGTGACCAAGAATAACATGGCCACAAGGGACTTTTACTCTCACCCCTGGCATCCTTTGCCTCTAACCTTCTGTAGCCTTGATAACATGGCTCTAGTTCATAAAGGGTCTCCTGGAAAACTCCTGGAATCCGTTCCCTTAGCTCCTCAGGTAAGCCTAAACCTGGGAAGCTGGGTGTGGGGCTGATGGCCACAGACTTTGCATGTGGAGCTCAGGGTGCCCTCAGGATGAGAGCTCCTTAAGAGTGGCCTTCGGGCGCTGGCTTCACTGGTGGCCCTTGGGCCCGTACGGTGTCTGTGTTATTGTTGTTAGGGCGTTCAGGGCGCATCGCCACCAGGTCTGGCAGCAGGCAGGTCTGTGGACTGACGGACATTTCCTCTGGGGCAGAGGGGGAGAAAGGCTCCCTAGAGCTGAGGCCTGGGGGCCGAAAACGACGCTCCTGCCTGTGTTCCTTGCCCAGGATGGACGTTACAGGAAGCCAGGGGTCCTGGGGCTGCTCCCCACCCCCAGCGAGGTCCTGTGTGAGTGTGTAAATACCCAGGTGGGTGTCAGCGAGCCCGCTGACCTTGTGGTCCTTGGGACTGTTCCTCATTTCTGAACCTCTCGCTCTGCCCATTGAGTCCTGCCACATCGGGGGGCTCCCTACACCTGAGTGCTGAGACATCCTTGCCCAAGAGCCCGTGACTGAGAGGACGTCCTGCCAGCGCCAGTGTCAGGCTGGGAGCTGTGAGGGAAGGCCCTGTCCGAGGTGGTGCACACCTGACTTGAAGGCCTGCAGGACTCACTGTTAATGGGAACACTGGCTGTGGCAGAAGTTTGGGTTCCACGTCCCTTGTGTTGGTTCTGATAACAATAAATGGTTACGGGTGTGCACGGATAACGTGGCATGCGCAGATGTAAAGGTAACAGGTGGCACCTCAGTAGCTGGTGACACTGCTGTGCTGACTGCACACCTGGTAACGTGGCGTGATGGGTGGTGTGGTGGGTTTTTCCCCCCTTTTCAAATTGAAGTATATTGACTTACAGCATTGTGTTAGTTTCCAGTGTACAGCACAGTGATTCGGTTGTGTGTGTGTGTATATATGTGTGTGTGTGCACACAGCCATATTCTTTTTCATTACAGGTCCCTACAAGTCGCTGAACATGGTTGTACATGGGCTGTACAGTAAGACCCTGTTGTGTATCTGTTGTGTGCATAGCAGTCTGTATCTGCCAATCCCAAGCTCCCGGTTTACCCTCCTGGTGGTGTGGTGTTTTGATCCCATGTGTTACTCTGTGGCAGAAGCAGTTAGATGATTATGTGTGACCGGAAGTCTACACATGATTACATGATGATCATATGGCTCGGTGACACGCAGGGTGTGGGCATATGTGTCAATACTGAGTGGCCCTGTGGGTTGGTTATGTGTGTGGTCTGCTGCTCACATGGCACTGGCTGGCTCCATCTAACCTGCTGGCCTCTGGTTACACGCTTCACATGTCTGCATGGGATCACAGGCTATGTTTATTGTATTGGCAGTTGGTTCCATACAGACCCTGGGCGAGGCTGTGATGGTGCAGTTTCTTCCTGGGCAGAGGTGAGGGCTCAATGGGAAGACAGTGGATGGGGGCTGGGGAGTCAGGGGCCCGGTACCTTGGTGGGGCTGTTCCTGTCCAGAGTGCTGGCCTGGCTGGTGGCAGGCCCCCCGCACGCCAGTGCGTGGTAGCTGGAATTGGAAAAGCACTGGGCGTGGCTGCTACTTTGAGACAAATCTGGGAAGAGAACAAGGTGCCACATACCATCATACCCCTGCCCCCGGCATGAGACAACCCCCAAATGAATGCTTGGACCGCTTTGAGAGTGTTCTGCAAAGAGGGGCAGCCAAGTCCCCATCCCCCAAGCTTCCTGCCATCCACTGCTCCCCTGGGACTCTCTCGAGCCTGATTTGCCCCTTTCCCTGTGTGGCCCTCCTTGCAGCATGCAGGTTGGGCTTGCCAGTGTGGAGGTGGTACCAGATGAGAAGTGTTGGTTTGACAGCCTAAGATATCCCTGAGCCATTGTGTCAGGCTGTGCTGAGACTCTCCCGCCTCCCCCAGGTTCGGACCCCGGTAGTGAGGCTGTAAAGAGAATCCCACTCCTCTTGGCCCCAGCCCTGCCCTCCTGCAGATTCCAGGATCTGCGCCCTGGGCTGGGGAATTCCGGTGGAATGGCGTGGGGAAACCCGGCCAGCCTTGCTTGTTAGAGTCACAGAAGAAAACCCCCAAGTCTTCTCTGTGAGCTTTGGGATTTCATCAGGGGAGATGCTTTGGCTGAAACCCAGGGAGGCGTGCAGGCCAGGAACCCTGAAGGCAGGGTCTGTACCCAGGCTGCCCATCTGCCCCGCAGCCCTAGCACAGAGCTGGGCGGTAGTGGGCAACACTTAGCAAGAACGGGCTCACGTGATCTTGGTTTTCTAAGTCCAGGGTGCAGGAGGCTGCAAGTCAGCCGTGAGCTATGGAGCCAGCTAGACAGAGCTGCCAGCCTACCCTCCCTGTGGGCAGTTTCAGAGCATTTTGACCTCTTCTGCTTAATGAAATGTGAAGCAAAAAGCCTTATTTCTAAGGCAGCAGTGCAGGGTTCAGGGGAGAGGAAGGATGTGGCCCAAGAGCCCCATCCCCACCCACCTCAGACTCCCAGATAGAATAAATGCCCATTGGAGTTGTCACCACATTTGTGGTCGCACTGGGTTCCAGCAGGCCTGGTCCGAGGGACACTGTCCAAATGTTCAGACTGCCCCTAGTCAGGCACTTTCCCCTTCCACTGTTTGATTAGGTCCCTCCCAACTGTGAGAACTGGGAGGGAGGGCTGCTCTGAGGCTTTCATCAAGGAAGCAAAAAAAATGGGACAGGGCTGGACACGGCCCCAAGGCCGGTTTCCTGATGTGACACAGGCATCGGACTGGGAGAGGTTCCCGGAGCTCTTAAAGTGACTGCTAAGTGTGGGTGCTCCTGCGGCTGAAGCCTGGGGAGAAGGATCGGGGGCTCTGGGCAGTGGAAGGAGGCACCGAACCATAGCTGTGCAGAGCTGAGCGCCCCAGAAATGAGACCCCCACGTGTAGGCATAGACCCTCATCTACCTTCCTGAAGTAAGCCCCTGCTCCCCACCCCTATTACCTCTCTAGGGGAGTCCCAGCAGCCAGCCCCCGCAGCCAGCCCTGCAGGCATGCCCTTCACCAGGAAACCCGGGTGTCCCAGGAATACCATGCAGCTCCTCCTGGGGGGGGGTGTGGAGGGAGGGGAGGGGGCACGCTGGGGGCGCAGCCCTTACCTGAGAGGGAGTAGTCAGTGCTGGTCATCCTCATGGCAGGTGTGTAGGAGACGCGGGGAGCCAGGTCTCGGCCCTTCTCTTTTTGGCGCCACCGGCGCCAGGCGAACAGGCCCAGCAACACCACAATGAGGACCAGCAGGAGGACGATGCCCGTGACGGCACCCACCGAGTGCCGCTCCGCACCCAGCGCTGGGCTGATCTTGGTGTAGGGATTCAGCTCCTCCATCATGAGGGCAGCTGCGGGCGGAGGGAGGGGCTGAGCCTGGGGCAGGCCTGCTTGCTCTCCAGGTCTCCTCAGCCTGGGGAGCAGACCCGCATTCTGGCCTTGGCCCTGTCCTCCAGTCTCTATGCGATCCCAGCCCTCACGTGCCTGTCCTCAACTGCCTAAAGTGGGTGAAGTCCCAGGTCTGCCAAGGAGCAAATGTGGTCATGGATGGGAGACAACATAATGAATGTTTGATGAGTATTTCACTCTAGTCTAAGAATGAGTTATAGATATTAACTCATTGGGAAATAGCTTCCTAGCAGCCCTATAAGGGCTGTTTATAAGTCCTTTAAGAAATAAAGACTATTTAACTATTTCCCTTTCATAGCTGAGGAAACCGAGTCACTGAAAGTTTAGGGACCTGGCCCAAATCACACAACCAGTAACTGGGAGAGAGGTGTTTCTCAGGAGTCAGGAAAAACTGGACATGGCCCTTCTCCCCGCCTACCAGCTGTGTGATTCAGAGCCTCGGCCTGTAACATGGGGACAGTGATCCCACTGTGAGCGCCATATGACAGACTGGCAACGAAAGCTGTGAGTGCTGTACCAGGGTGCCCAGGACTGCTGCTCGTAAAACCCCTCTCGACGGTACATGTGTGGGCTGTCCCTCACCCCTCACCTCCTAGAACCAACAGCAGAAACCGCTCATCGGGCGCTCACTGTGCGCCAAGCACTGTGCTGAGTCCTTTACTCACATCTCAGCCTGGCCCTCACGACCGCACTATGGAGTCTTGTCTGCCTGGAGCCCTGGGCTCCTGGTTGAGCCCCTTGGGTCTGCCCGCTTTGCGTGTGGAGTTAACGAGTCCAGCCAAAGGAAATGACCTGCCCAAGGACACCTAGCAGGTCATGGCAGAACCAGGATTCGGTAGATCTCCCAGCCCGGTCTGCTGACCTTTCCACAGCACTAGCTTGTGGTTACCCTTGCGTGGCTCACAAAACTTGCCAAGGATGAGAACAGCGAAGCTGTGCCTAGGAGGCTGCCTGTTCCACCTGCCTCTCCAGTGCCTGGAGCCTCCCCCTCCCAGCCCCACTCCATTCCCACTCTCCTCCCAAATGTGAATAAAGGGATGTCACAAAGTGTCTTCCTAAAATTCAGTTGGTCCCGTTGGAATCTCCCTAGAGCCTGCGTCCACGGGGCCCTTCGCACAGCCCCGTTCCCTCAGGGACCCTGTCGTCTGTGTATTACCTTGGTCACATCTGATCCCTTTGAATCCAGAGCTGCAGTAGCAGGTGCCCGTAACGTGGTCACAGGTGGCATTGTTCATGCACTCACATAGCTGCTGACACCCGTAGCCAAAGGTTCCTGGGGCACATCCTGTGTAGCATGAGGAAGAGCTGGAGTAAACTGTGAGGTGCACCCACTCTCTACCCTTCCCATCCCATATGTGGGCAGCTGTGACGATTCGTTCTGCCTCAGAATAAAGCCTCTCTCTCTGTTTAATACTTGGAGTAGACAGAACACCTATAGCCCTGAGTTGGGACACCCACCCTACCTCCTCACCTGATTCATATTTATTGCAGCATCTTCCACATGCCAGACCCTGAGGTGGGAGCCACAGGGTCTTCAAAGAAGAATCAAACAAGATCTACCTCCCTCTACTCCCTCACTACCCTCCACCCACCCCAGGCCTCTGCCTTAACATCCCCCATCCCAACCCCAACTGGAGGAGAAACTCTTCAAAACCCAGCGGAGACCTGACCTAACGTTTTTCTCCTTGGGAGTTGCTCTGAAAATCAAGGGAGCAGGGGATGCAGGGCCCTGATGGGTGGACCTAGAAGGGGGAGGCCTTCCCTGCAGGAGGCTGAGGGCTGGCATTGACACCCAGGATCAGGGGTCGGGACGGCTTACTCTGCTCACAGTGTCGCCCGGTGAAGCCCGTGCGGCAGGTGCACTTGCCGCTGATGTGGTCACAGCTGGCGCCGTTCTGACACTGGCACACGCGCCCACAGTCCTTCCCATAAAACGCTGCTGGGCAGCCTGGAGAAACAGGGTGGGGGCAACTGCGGAGTTGCAGCTGGGACCCAACCTGTGTCCAGCCCCCTCCTTTTCTCTGAACACAGGATGAGGACTAGTGAGGCCCTGCACCGTAATGTCTCCCTGCTCTGAACCCTCACGCTGAATGGGTAGGGGGTGGGGTGGGGAGTCCTTTGGACAAGGTGCCTTGAAACCAAAGGCCAGGCTGGTGCCTCCTTGCTGTGCAGCCATTTCTGGGCCTCCTGTCCAAGGAGAGTCTGGTCTCGGTGATCGCTGGGGCACCTTACAGCCCTGACCTTCTAGGACTTTGGGTCCATCAATCCCCTGAATATAGCCAGGCTTCTCGGTCCCAGGGGTGAGAGGGAGGGTGGTTAGCTCCCAGCCCTGGGCTCCACTTCCTCCCTCCCTCCACCACAGGCCCAGACGATGCCCACGGCAGCCAGCAGGCCGCAGCATGGGATTCCAAATAGCTGGAAGGCTGGGAGGCGGGGCTTACGCTGCGTGCAGAAGAGTCCGGTCCAACCAGGGGTGCAGTGGCAGGCCCCATCCTCGGCGCTACAGCTCGCCCCGTTGTGGCAGCTGCATGTGTGGAAGCAGGCGGGGCCCCAGAACCCAGGTGGGCAAGCTGGGGGTGGGTGGGATGCAGAGGGTGGGGGCAAGGCAGAGAGGGGCAGGACGGAAAGGGAGGGAGAGGAAGGGGGAGGGCTGTCAGAGCCAAGACGCCAGGATGTGCCCGGGTGGCATTTCCTGGCTTTTGGTGGCCTTAGCCACCGTTCCCAGAATTCTTCCACTCACCTCTTGGCCCAGTCACCCAGATTCCCATTTAGCCCAGATTCTCTGCCCACTCTCCCAGCTCTCAGGGCTTCTGAACCTTCCGTCTCAGGAGACTTGACTGTGATTTGGAGCATGTGGGCGTGTGTGAGGAAAACTGTAAACACTGTGGTTTATGGTGCGAATACTGTGTGTGCTAACTTCCCCGCAAATATGGGGACCTTCCCAGGGTAGGGACTCTCCTCTTTCAGCTAGTGAGCTCCCTGCGGGTGGCATCCCTGTCTCCTCCATCAGAACAGAAGTGCCTTCAGGCCGCGCCATCTACCTGGGACCTACCCACGGACACTGGCTGGGTCTTACCCATCAGCCAAGACCTTCACAGGGCAGAGGTTGGGTCTCTACCCTTAGACTGGTGGGGATGGGTGTCCCTGTCACCTCCATATCAGATTGGGTGCATCTTACAGGAACAGCCCCTACAATGCCCTGTCTAGGCCTGTGGTGCCCAGGACGTCATTCACATGAATCACCCAGAGGACGTCCTCGCTCCTCTGAAGTGACTGCCCTGGCTTCACCTCACTTCCCTGCTCCCTCTTCCTCCCCATCCAACTTCGGGGCTACTCCTTGCTCAGGTGCGAGGAGTATTAACACCCAGCAGTAATAGTGTTCATGATACTACCAATAATGTCCGTATCTTTAATACTAGCAGTTCATAATGCCAGTGATCAGTCCTAATAATTCATCATGTTAGCTGTAGAGGCTGAGTGGAACCCAGGTGGGCATTCCTATCTGCAGAAGGAGACTTCAGCCCTGGGAGGTGAAAGCACCAGGGGCAGAGAGGTTCTGGGCGTTTCAGGGAGTGAGTGTTTCTGGGCCTGACCCAGGGTTGGGGGTTCCTAGGGGACATTCCCAGGGGGGCAGCAGCTTACCCTGTGAGCAGTCCTTGCCAATCCACCCGGGGAAGCACTGGCAGGAGCCATCGATGGGGCTGCAGGTCCCGTTGTTGGCACAGGAGCAGAGCTGGGCACAGTCCTGCCCAAAGTGCCCTCCAGCACACACTGTGGGCACAGGACAGCCTGGCACCCACCCTCCCACCTGTACTCCTCAGGCCACCCCCACAGCCGCACCCGAGAAGTTCCCAGGCCGCAGCCATGGCCCCCTGGGGGCACAGATCTGGGTGGGAACCGCTCACCTCAGCATCCCTACCAGCCTTCTCTGGTTCCACGTCAGTGAGCTCCCTGTCTTGTGTCCAGAGCCACATTCTTTCAGAAGCTCTATTATAGATGCCCAGACAGGAAAAGACTGAGGCCCAGAGGGGCAGCGTCACTTGACTTAGGTCTCACGGACAGAAGTGGTCAGGCTGGGAATCCCCCTCCTGCACTCTCAGTCTAGGGCTCCCTGCACTGCCCCACAGCCTGTGTTCCATTCCCACCCCTTTGTCAGCATCACTGACCCCACAGCCACGAGTGCAGAGACCACTTATAGGGGAGGGAGAGGGACAGGTGCAGGGGGCAGGTCTGTCTGCAGGCAGACGGCTAGAGGACCATTCTGAATGTCTGTCCTTTTCCACCTGTTTCCTCTGTCTCTCCAAATCCAGCCTGTTCCTCGACCCTCAGCTCAGTCCCCTCCTCCTCGGTGGACCTCCTGGGTCCACAAGGTGCTCTCTTCCACTGAGCTCCTGTGGTATTTCCACTTTGAGTCACTTGTAGGATTTGGGTCCCAGCCCCTCCTGGAGGAGTCAGTCCTTGGTCCTTGGAGGAAGGGCTGGTTTCCTCCACCAAGCTGCACGCTCCTTTAGGACTCTGTGTGAGCATTCACTGAGCACCCACCTCTCACTTCCCCTGCAGTCCATCCTCCACCTGCTTCCTACAGCCTGAGCTCTCTAAAGCACAGCTCTTTTCGAGGCATTGCTGTGCCCTCTCAAACATCCTCAATGGCTCCCTGTTGCCTCAGAATAAAATCTGAATTCTAGCGATCAGCATGTAAACCTACCTCACCCAGACACATGAGCCATTGGACCACACACCACTTTCTTCCTCTGGGCCTTCACTCCAGCTGTTCCCTCCCAGAATTTCCCTGAGCCTCATGTCCAGCTGCAGAAGTCCTATCCTGCCTGCAAGATTCATCTTCAGTGCCACCTCCCTGAAGATCGTTCTGTAGTAGGCAGCTAGGCCTTCAGGATCAATTCTCTTCTTCCTTAGAAGCTCAGTTTCAACTGGGCTTGTGGCCACCTGCACAGCTGGGTATGCCCATGTGACTACATTATGACCAATGGAAGGTGGAAATGCGTGTCTTTATTTGCCCGCTCCTCCTTATTGAAGGGTAATGTGGATTATGGATGAGAACTGTGGGCAAGATGGCTGGAGCTCAAGCAGCTATCTTTTACCAGAGGTGGAAGCCACGTGCTGAGGATGGCAGAACAACAAGATAGAAGGAGTCTGGGTTCCTGGCATCTTTGTAAGCTACCCTACCACTCCCCAGTGGCTTGCTTCTGGATCCTTCCTTTCTCCCCTCCCTTCCTCCTTTCCTTTCTTTCTCTTTTGAATGTGTGAGGGAAACAAAGCTTGTCACTTTCCAGCCAATTATTTTGGGCTTTTATGTCGCTTATAACTGAACTTAACCCTGACAGAGTCACGCCTCGTCTCTGTTCTGGGAGGCTATGTCCCTGTTTGAGCTCCCAGGACCCTATATTAGTTTCTTCCCTGGTCTGTTACTGTGGCTTGTGAGCCCTTTCAGGCTAGACCTGGGTTCTGCCCATGTTTGTATCCCCCACAACACCTGGAGAAACTACAGGTGCTTCAGGCATGGTGGCTGAATATGCAGAAATCAACTGCTGCCCCTTCCCGCCTCCCACTGACTCCCAGGTTCTGCTGGGAAAGGCTGAGCTCCAAATATCCCCCTCCAGATCACAGGCTCTGTGAGGGCAAGGACCTTGGCTCTCTTATTCTCTATTGTGTCTGAGTATCCAGCACAGTGTACAACATACAGCAAACACTCAGGAAATGTTCCAAAATGGCCAAGATCTGCCCCAGGAGAAGTGACCTTCCAGGGGGTTCTGCTGGAATCAGTGACTCCCTGTCTCTTCAAGCTCCTCTCCGTTCAACACGCTCCCCGCAAAGCCCACTTCCGGCAAGTCCTACGCCCTCAGCGATGGCCTCCTTGCACCCCTGTCACGGGGGAGGGAGTCCTTGAATCCCTGAGAGCCTCGTTTGGCTGAGTCACACAAAGGATCACGGGGAGGTGCTGCTTCCTGAAGAAGAGCGACTTCCCCAGGGCCCACGTAAAGTTTGGGCTGGCACCACTCTATGCCACACTGCCTCATACTGCCAGCCTTCCCCAGCTGGACTGTGGGCACCTGGTACTAGGATCTGTGCCCACTCTGTGCCTCTCCTGGACGTGATTAGCGGTTGGGACAAACAAAGGCAGCCCGGTACACCAGGCTCTCCAGTCTGAAGCCTTGGGTCTGGGTGCTAGTTTTACTTATGCATTCAACAAACACTTCTATGGCATGTTTGGGCACCACCCTGTTCAAAGTGCGTCCCAAATATTAGTTCCACTAACCTTGTAATACTCTCATCTATTTTCATTATTACTCCCATTATTAACTCTACTTCACATACAAGGAGACTAAGGCACTGAGAGGTTAAGTAATCGCCCACGATCACACAGCTAGGAAGTCCTGCCACTTATTGGCTAAGTACCTTTGAGCAAACCACATCACCCCTCTCAGTTTCTGTTTCCTCATCTTTGAATTGGGGATAATCACCCTCATCCACTGGCCTTGGGCTGGGTTAATAGCTACGGGTACCCTGGCTGATTGCTCCCCGTCCAGCAAAAACCTTAGCTCCTTCCAGGGCAGGTCCACTGCCAGGAGAATGACAGGCATCTCACCTGAAAAGCAGGGCACCCAGCATCCTCTTCCCTGCCTCTGGGAGGTACATGATTTGGGGAAACCAGCCCTTCGTCCTGGCCCTCCAGGGAGAGTGGGGTGCCAGAAATGCTCCGCTGACCCCCACCCCCAAAACCAACTCTGAGCTTCTCTACCAAGACAGTGTTCTCTGAAGTCTCGCTCACATCCACAGAGCTGACAAATTCACCCACAGAGCTGCTAATGTGATCAGTCTAATACATTAATTGGTTGCCCTCTTAGCTGAATCAAGAGTGAGGCAAAGAGAAGGGCTTGTGGAGAGAAGGGGGAGCTGCTGAAAAGAAAACATCTGGTTATATTTAATCTATGTTTAATGATTCTGCATAAGCAGTGTCTGTAATTTGTAACTCGATGAAAGCCGGTCATTAGAAAGTGTCAGTTCAATTTTTTACAAGGTTTGAGACTGAACCAGGGCAGTTGCCATTAATAGCTAACTCTATTAGATCTATATGTGGAAAATACTCATTAGGCCGGCGGGCGATAAATCAGACACTGCAGGATCTGAGAGTCACTCCTCGGGCTGCTTAGGTCCTAATTCAGACCCGACCTATCTGTATTGACGGCCGGGTCTCCGATGTTTAATAAGTAAACCTCGACGTGTCAGGCTATGATTAAACTGTCCTGGGAGGGCTGCAAGCAAATGAAACTGTCACATACGTTTCCCTGGGGCCCAAACTTCTCATGACCTCAAAGCACCATGGAGTAAACCTTCCGCTCATATATATTAACGGCCCAGACACTTACAAAAATAGCCAAGCTCAGTGGTGATCATTCATCAAAAGAATCTCGTCCCCTGGGAGGTAGTGAGTGCTCAGTGGACGTACTTAACCAGAGGCCAGATGAGACTCTTGCATAGATGACCTTGAAGTTGCTTTCAGCTCTAGTTTTACCTTCGACTGAAATCCCTTTGCTCCTTACAGGTTAAAGTGCAAATTCTGCAACCTGTCTTCAAAACTTTCCAGAAGTCCCCAGACTACATTCTCGGTCCCCCTTGCCATCCACGGCCTCTGCATCCTTCTGCCCTTCGCTATGGCTGGACAGTCATTCTGTCCACGCCTCTGTGCTTTGCTCAGGCTGTTTCCTCTGCCCGCAACGCCTTTCTTCCATCTGTGGCTTTTAGGCTAAGGCCCAGATGAAATCCCACACAGCATGGAGCCGTCCCCCAGATCCACCCTGCCCTGACCTAACTAAGCCAGGGACAGCAGTAAGCAACCGTGTGCCATGGAGCCAGCTTCCACCGTCACAACTGGTTGTTAAATATTCAGGAATGTTGCCATTGCTGTTAAACTACTGGTACCTTAGAACCAACCACAGTGGGAATATCTGTACGATGCAAATCTGCAAATGATACAAATTAGGCCTTTTCTTTCCCACAGGGAGCCAGCTGAGCAGCACACCAACGCCCCTCCTGTTGAGTAGAAGAGGTTGGCTGGAGTTGGTGTTGTGGATTCTGCAGCTGAGACAGGAAAGCATGTGGCGAGGGATTAGTGATGTTGGCCTCGGTGTGAGGAGAGAGGGGCTGGGAAGCTGCCATCTGCGGAGAAGCCAGAACCGTCTCCTCTGGGCTCCCACAGCATACCCTGCCTTTCCCACCCTGCGCTCAGCACAAGCCATCTGGGGCCATTTCGTATGCGGACTTCACCTACGCTTGTTTCATTTTTTATCCGTTTAGACTGAGCTTTGGAGTCAGAATTCATTTCTCAGCTCTGCCAGTTGCTAGCTGTGAGACCATGGAGAAGTCATTTAACCTCTTTGAGCCTCTTCCTTCAAATGCATAATAATTTTGTCTCACGCCCCGTGGTGTCTAATTCTCAGAAAGGTAGGTCCAAGCCCTGCACAGGCAAGGAGCTGCCTCCTCAGCGTACAATGGGAACCCCAAACCTTCCTCCCCTGCCACTTCCCTCTCGGGACTCCTCCCCTCCCAGGCCCACGCCTTCCTCCTGGAGACAGTACCTTGGTTGCAGAGAGCTCCAGAGAATCCAGGGAGGCACTCACACGCGCCACTGATGTGATGGCACGGCCCGCTGCTGTGCACGCAGAGGGGGCACGGCTGGGCGCAGCCGTGGCCGTAGAACCCAGGGGCGCAGACTGGGGGTGAAGGGGAGATGGTGGTCAGCAGCCCAAGGGACCCCAGTAAGCCGGGCTACCTGTCCAGTCCCACATGGTGATGAAGACGGGCTTCTCCAAGTATGGGGGGAGCCACGCCCACCCCACACCTTCGAGGGCCCCATCCCTTTCTACAGAGAGGAGCTGTGGTCTGGTCCTGTTTGCACTAGGAAGCAGAGCTGGGCCGTGAACTTGGGAACAGAAAAGCCAGGGCAGGAAGACAGGAGACCAGAGGGAGGAATTTGACGGGGGCCTCTCAGGCCAGTACTAGCTCCAGCTGGGAAGGGTTAGGGAGGATGTGCAGCTCGGGGTCTACGGGACGGGGGCTCAGCCTTACTTCTCTGGCATAAGGGTCCTCGGAAGCCCGGGGCACACTCGCAGCTCCCGTCCTCTGGAGAGCAGGAGCCGCCGTTCTCGCAGCTGCAGGACACGGAGCAGTTGGGGCCCCAGCGACCCGGTGGACACGTGCTATCGCAGTGGATGCCTGTGGGCAGAGGCAGACCTGGGTCAGTGGTAAGGGGTGACACTGAAAGGAGGAATGATGGGAAGGGGGACTATGCAGTATGAAGAGGTAAAGGCAAGCACAGAGCATCTGGGGATGTGGAAGAAAAACCCAGAGAGGCTTGTCTGGTCAGGGAGGGCTTCCAGGAAGAGGTGACACCCAAACTGAGTCCTAAGGAACAAGGAGGGTTTGACCAGGTAAAGGAAACCCTAGTGCAAAGAACAGGAGGCAAGAGGGAGAATCTTGCAGGTGAGATATGGCAAGAGATGAGACTGTGGGATAAGAAGGGATTAGATCATGAAGGGCCTCCTTCATCTTTGACACCTTATATTGGTATCCAAGGTTAGTGGGGCAGGTGAAGCTGCGGTGGGGGCCTCAGAAGCTGGGAGCGAGCTGCATGCCCACCCACGTTAGCCTAGGAGCCACTGGTTCTTGCTGGGTCCCAGTTAACCAGCCCCGGGAGGTGGCCCAGAGAGCGAGTGGGGGTCTTTTCAGATTCTTTTGACCACAACCCTCAGTGCAGTATGTATTTTGTATCAAATGTACACACATATGCATAATAGAAACAAGCACTTTGCAAACTGACATTTACTGTCACCAAGTGTGATGCAACCTGATGTTTTCTTTGCACTATGATGTATTGTTTCATTAAGAAAAAAAACACAAGTTGTGACCCCAACAAATTGATTTAATGACCTTCAGTTTGACAAACAGTGGGGAAATGGATGGAGTTCGTCAAAAAGAAAGAGGAGCCAGGCCTGCAGTCTTTCAGTCTATTTGAGCTGAGCGAGAGGAAATATGTGTTGGGGTGTTTACAGCCCGGAGGCTGAGAAGGAGTTTTAAAAGGCCCCAGGCTGGATGCCCCGCTCTGGGGTGGGGTTTCCTCCCAGGCAGGAAGGCTTCCAGTTTGATCCGTATTCAGTGAATGGACCGTGGGGGGCCCGGGAGACCAGCTTGGCTTTGGAAGGTGAATATCGGAGGCTCAGAAAGGAACAGAATTAGTTTAAAAATCTTGTCTGCCTTGTTATAAGGACAGGGATCGTGAGAAAGAGGGAGGAAGACATTCAGGCCCAGTGAACAGAGCCAGCCCCAGCAGCAGCAGGAGAGCGGAGGGACCAATTTAGAGGCAGGCTGGAATTGTTCAGGCTCACCTGGGCCCGTGGGGGAAGGGGAGGGGCCGAGCAGCCAGAGAGAGTGGGGAGGGCGGGGACGCAGCAGGGTTTACTCATCCACCAGCGCCTCAGTCTAGCCTGTGCTCGCTCCCGGGGCCTCCTTCCCCGTGACAGCTCAATTCTGCAGCAGGGTCGGGGATACAGATGTCACTCTCCAGGAAATAGGCCTCTGCATGGAGGGCAGCGGGAGGGGGAAGCTTTTCCCAGGGGATGCGGTCTTTCCCCAGTGAGCATCTGGTGGCCACATTTCACCCCTCGATGGAGGTCTCTCCCGGGGGAGTTTCAGGTGCACCAGAGGTGAGCCCTGGACAAGCAGCACAGACAAGTGGACTGACAAGGAGCCTGGGGCAGCGGAAACCACAAAGCTGTTTAAAACCGAAAGCCGTGATCTGCCCCAAGGAGTTCTTTTGCCTGTGGTTGTTAAAAACCCAGGATTCAGACCGCAGGCCGAGGGACACGGCTGCTCCTGGCAGGCACGCTGGACTAAGGTGGAGGTCCGCTGTCTGGCAGGGGCCTGCGATCCCATCGGTGCATCAGGCACTATGTTAGGCTGACCGAGGCGCACACAGCACACACAGGCCCGGCCCTCTCCTGAAACTACACGCAGATATTACTGTGATTAGTAAAACCCAATGCATGTGAAAGCACCCCTCAATTCACAGTAGCCTGTTGTTCTCATGTTTGCCCCCAATCAAGGGTCCTCTTTCTTGGGAGATTAAGAACCACAAGTGAAAGGCGGTTATGCTCAGATGGCAAATGACGGCCAGGGCCCACTGGCTTCTAGACTTTCACAGTTATTCTATTCTAGGCCTGGTTCTGTGGGCTCCTGTTTGAGGTTCTTCTATGTCCTAAGAACTCCCTGGAGCTTAAGACATTGGCACCTAAGTAGAGAAGAGGGCGTAGGGTCTCCCCCTGCATGGAGAGCCCAGTTCCACTGGGGCACTCAAAGGGGCTGACCTCAGCCTGGGGAGGTCTCCCACTGCAGCCTCTTAAGAGGCGTGGCTTCATCAGTTAGTTGCCTTCTCTGGGCCCTGTTTTCCCTACAGTTGAATGGGAATAGTAATCCCCCTTAGGGAATCTCCCTGTTTTATTATTTAGGAACCCCTACACAGCTATATTGATGGGTAAAGCGAGGCTAAGAATCCATATATTGGGACCTCTAGCTCATGCTACAAGGCCAGCAACAACTCAGCAGCCCACATCCTTCAGGGACTGTTTTGGGTCTTCCTTCTCCAGGAAGCCTTCCTGGATGTCTGCCCCAGGGATTCAAGTATCTATTTGATAGTGGATACAGCTTTGTCCCAAAGCTTTTGAGCTTTGGTTCAAAATAATCATTTGAATATTTCATATATATGTGTCCTGTGACGACCAGGACCATGGCTTATTGACACTTCTGACTCTTTGTCTAGGTGCTCCTAATGGACAGGGAAACCATCGTGGTCATCTTTGCATCTCTACTACCCAGGACAGTGTCTGTCATACAACAGGTGCTCAGGGACTAATGCTATTATTGAATTTTGCCATTTATTGCTGGGTCTGGTACAGTGCTGGGCACATGGTAGCTGCCACTAAAAACTTGATGATGAAAAAAAAAACTTAGTGATGGCTTGAGTCAACAAATGCTAGTTGAATGAATAAATGGTTCCCCTTTCCAGTGTAATCCTGTATCTCCCATCTTATGGGCGCTAATGTCCTGAGACCTTGGGCAACTCCCTTTTCCCATCTGTAGCATGAGGAGGTGAGAGCAGATCACCCTCAAGGTCTCCTTCACTTCAAGGGGAAAAGCCATACATGGTTATAGGTCAGCTTCTTTCAGTTTATTTCAACACTGAATAAGCACCTACTGTGTGCAGGGTAAAGTGAATTAGACAAGATGCCAGTCAAGAAGCCTGTGGCTAATGGGGGTGAAGGGAGAAGGTGTCCACACACTTAGAGCAAAGAAAGACAAGTGTTGGGCCAAAGGCACGAGCAACATGCCAGGGGCTGGGAAGTCGGGGGAGGGGGGAGGGCTCGCTGAGCAGGAGGCTGGAGCCTGGA